TCAAAAGCGAGACATCAATGACTTACTGTAATATTCCTAATTTTAAAAAGGATATTCCTGGTATTTAATGGTATTTAATGGTATTTAATTTATTATTTAAGTGCATTTTATTTGATTATGTGTCATTATTTTTTTATTAGGTGCTTAATTGTTTTCTTTTGTGGTGATTTAATTTATTTAAATGATATTTGTTTTTAGTTATTTGATTGGAATTACTTGTTAGTGTTTTAATTATTTAATTGGCATTAATGGTTTAAGTGTAATTGGTTGAGTTATTTGATTGGAATTACTTGTTAGTGTTTTAATTATTTAATTGGCATTAATGGTTTAAGTGTAATTGGTTTAATTATTCTATGTGTGTCTTATTTTATGTGTGTCTTATTTGGTTTAATTGGGTTTACTAATTATTATTTTGTTCAATTAGATTATTTATTAAGTATTTAATGGTGAATAGGGTAATTAGGTAAATACATCTAACTAGGGTTTTAATTACAGTATAAATTAGGGTTTTATATTATAGCCGTCGTAGGTTTCTACGTTAATTGGATGGGCCAGTTAGGATTGTGAGTTGAACTTAAATGAACCTAGGGTTTAGGAAAACTCTATAAGTATAAGGTAGACGTCTGTGTAGGGTTTTTTTTAAACAAAGCACACGTTTTGTAGAAGTGGAGAAGGAAAAATGCAGTTTTTCATATTCTGCCAAGGTTTGATCAAAGCTCTGATCCCGCTTTGTCCGTGGTCCGATCAAGCTGAATTTTGGAGGAGAGGTTCACGACTCAGTGACGCACAATATGAACGGTGGAGATCAGAGTTTGACCTCGGGAACAGTGATTCGTACTCGTGAACAGTAACTGGGTTGCACAGGTTTTTTTCCATTCTGCCCAGATTTCATCAAACATCCGATCCCGCTTTGTCCATGGTTCGATCGAGCTAAAATTTGGAGGATAGGTTCATGACTCAGTTTCGCACAATCTGAACGGTGGAGATCAGATTTTGAGTTCGGGAATAGTGTTTCGTACTCGTAAACAGTAACAGGGTTTTGGAACTCGCCGGGATTTTTTTAGAAGACGACGTTGAAACTTTGAACAAAAGTTTCTGAGGCAAGATTCTATCCTTACTCTTTCCCTTAGGCTTCATACTCTTTGCACTCTTAAATGATTCCAGGACTAATGAAGATTAAACCAAACTAAAATGATATCTGTTTTGCTATAAAACTGGTAGTTACAGTAGTGTTGTATGCTTGTTCAACCTAGACTAAGCATGTTTATGGATGTATTGTGGTTCTGTGGTTCACGTTTTTCCTTACCACTGCTAGTATAAATTATTGGAAGGATGGGTCTAGATAATAGCTATCTTAACTTCTGTAATAGCAACTGTTGGAACTTAAATACTAGGAGGATTTGAGTTTAACACTAGATTGATTCTGTGGAACACTATAATTTGAGCATGTCTACATACATACTGTGAATATTGTTTTGATGCTTACATTATCACAGTTAGTATCAACTGTGGAGGTTAGGATTTTGTGATACATACCCTACATATCTGTATGTCATTTGTAAGGTGTTAAATGAAAGTTTTAATTACTTCTGTCTTTATATCAGACTAAAGGGAACAACTTAAATTGGGCATGTATATGTTGTTGTTGTGACCCTATTTATCAATGCTTATTTTATCACTGCTAACATTGAATGTTGGATGTTGGAATTTAGTTGATATATACTTGATTTATTGGTATTATTGACTACTGGAGGATTGGAAAGTAGGCACCGGTATGGGACGGTGGCATACTAAGGATGGGTTTGGTTTTTAAATCAATACCATTACCCACTTACTTGGAATAAGAATGGGATTAACTAAAAGTTAAGTCCCGTGGATTTGTATTGTCATGGCAACTACTTGTTGAGCAGCAATACAAGGGATTTTGGATAGATTTTATATATGTACTGTTATGGTGCCTCGGTATGAGCTTGAGCCTCAGGACCGATGGCTAGGGAGCGTATATGCATCGGGATGTGTAGCTGGCTACGATGGTTGGAGGTGTACCTTGTTTAGGTATAGGTACATATGCCCACTTCGTGTGCGTTTTAGCATGTTACCTCTAGTCAGGTTGAGACCGGCCTGTAGTCCAGTGAGAGTCCTTTAGTGTGACTATATATATATATTTACGGACTATTAGCTATTGTTGAATTGTTTAGGATGTACATGCGTATCGGGCCTCTGTTTGGATTGTAGTAGTATAGAACTTGCGCGTAGGCCTGACCCACTTCTATTTTTCAGGTACACGACAGTTCCAGGATTAGACGTGTTCGTGCTGAGCAGAGGTCTCTATTCACTCTTCCGACGATGTAGGGCTCTCTCTATAGTTTTATTTCTGGACGTTTATTACATTTGTTTTATCTTCCGTTTGGATGTTTAATGGGGGTCCACTAGAGATGGATTCCCAAGTTGTAAACTGATGGAGTTTTGGAGTTTGGGTTTGATGGATTTTAATAATTATAATATTTTGCGGATTCTATTTTTAGTTCCTTCCACTTTTAATTTCATTTCTAAATTTATTTTGTATTCCGTGTTCATTATAAAATATTAATTGTTTGATATTCCCTCGGGTTTGGGTCTGGACCTGATCAACCCGTGTCTCGGATTCGAGGGGTATCACACTTACCTCCCCCGCCAACGCCGCTATGCCCCGGGGGCAAAAGCTAAATTTATTCACTCTCTTTAATTTTGGGCCAATAAATAATTGTTTTAGAAATATTTTGAGAGCATAACTTGAAATTTTTTATGAATTTACTAGCACCGCCCTGCTCGCATGGTTGAACAAATAATTTAAATAAACTTAAACGTTAATTAAAAAAATAAAATTGGTTAAAAAATACTGTACAAATTGATTTTTCTCCTTAAATGCTTCTTGCATTCACAAATATGTAAAATCCACAGATATTAGAAATATTATTTTTGTAATATTTTTGAATTTCATCATTTTCCATTTTTCTAGAATTTTGTTGATGCGAGGGCATTTTTGTCTTTTCACGTTGTGCGAATTGGACACTGCGGAGTGTGCCGATTGTGTCCGAGAGTTGTTTGGAGCATTTCATTGAGTCCAGGACTCTTTGAAATGCAAGGGTGATCATTTTCGCGTTTTTCGTTTTACGGGTTGGACGGTCCCGTGTGGGACCCGCTACCGAAATTGTTGTATGCTGGTATTTTAGTTGGGTTCAATTGTATCATATTTATTTTTATTTATTATGTTTTGAGTGATTGTAAATTAAAGGTGTGTGCATATATGTATGTGGTGTAGAATTAAAAATAAAAAGAAAAAGGAAAAAAAAAATGGGTGGGACCCACAAGTACTTAAAATGGTCATGAGACCACTTTTTGTTTTCAATTTTCTCTCATTTCCCGCAAGCTTCTCTCTCTGTTCCAGAAACATTTTTTTTTTTGGTCATGAGACCACTTTTTGTTTTCAATTTTCTCTCATTTCTCGTAAGCTTCTCTCTCTGTTCCAGAAACATTTTTTTATTTTATTTTTCTTTTTTTTTTGTTTCAATCTTCACCTCTCAATTTCTCCTTCCATACTTAGTATTTTTAAAAGCCGTTTGCAGCTATTCGAAGCCCACGACGAGACCTACAAGTTGATAGGAGCAATTCCTTGGTTGGTGCACCATAGGAAATTCGAAATCCTAAGGTTTGAGGTGAAGAAAATTAGGGGTTGTCTCTTCCTTTGAGGTAGGGGTTCTAATTCACATGTTCTTGGGCCTGTTTTTGTGAATTAGTCTACTTAATTGATGATTAGCATGCTTAATTTGTAGAAAATTTCTTACTTTATTATATGTATATTGTGCCAAAGTTGTAACTATGTGTTGCTTGATATATATGATAATGAAGCATGTAAATTGTTAATTAATTCAAGCTTTTGTGCCTTTAGTGCTAGTTTGGTGATTGGAAAGTATGAAATATAATTTTAGAATTTTTTTTTTTTTTTTTTTATGTTGTAAAGCCTGTCTAAGTACCAAATTTTCATGCCTATTATGATTAATTTGCAAGAATTTGCTATATGGAAGTGTGTTGATTTGTGAATTATGAAAATCTTATGTTGATTTGTGAATTGTAAAAATCCTTCATTTGACATGGCATTGAGAAGCATGAGATATTCATGCATATCATTAGGAAAAAATGGGAAAAATTGATTTGAAAGAAATGGATATGGATTTTTGGGAAAGAATTTTGAAAAGGATTTTGTGAAAAACCCAGCCGCCTAGGAGTTGCCTAGGGACCGCGGTGTTAGTGAGACCTAGAGGGGACTAGGGAAATCGCCCTAGTGTGGTTGAGTCACTTGGGCCCCAAATGACTCCATGGAGTTGCTATGGGTCAGGGACAGTAGTCAATCCTCCTCTCGTGCCGCCATGGAGTTGCCATGGGACAGGTTCACTAACAGTTTGAAAATAATGATGGGAATGGTTTTGGAAAAATGGGGAGTGACATTGGATGACATGTTATATCATTGCATGGCATATTCATTTGTGGTATTGGATTAATGATGTAGTGTCGTAATTATATTTTACTCTCGGCATGGTATAATCCCAATTTCCTTATTCCTATTCATGGTGTGGATTCACAGGGTCTCAAAAGGTATGCCTTAGACACTTTCTACTGAACTTATGTTCATCCCTTCATTTTAACATTTTTCAGGAAACGAAAAAGAAGTGGCGGATGACGTTCAACCATAGGCTTAAATTGGACTAGAAGACCTTTTTGTTATTTTTGTATTTAAGTCCTATTATTTTTGTAAAACTTAGTATATAGTATTTTATACTAAGACTTGTAGACTTTTGTTATTGTACTTATATTCATGGACTTTAGATCTTGGGATTGTAATTATGATACTTGGATTAAATAGAATGTGGTTGATCCACCATAAATTGAACTATGTTGAGAAATAATGAATGGATAAAAGAAATGTATTATTTGCATTGTGTTGGGATATGTTTAATAAATTTTAAAGGCCCAAGGGAGGCTATTGTATTTTTGCACATAAGCAGGTTGTTGTAGGATCCTTTTTAACAGGATTTATGCTGAATTTTTTATAAATGGAATCAGTTTAAGGTGGTTACAATTTTATATATAGCACAAGTAAAGCTTCCTTCACAAGTTTACAACTACCACATGCTATAATTTTCACAATTTAACAATATCAGAAACATCATTGACTGAAAACCAAGAATTGTTCAAAACAAAGCTTACCTTTTACCTTAAAAAAAAAAAAAAGAATTGTTCAAAATATAAGAGATCAACATTGAAAACACCACCACAGATGGATAAACTCGAGAAGCCCGCCCAAAATTCTCACTGTTCTTAAAGGCACGCTTTGCCTGTCATTGCATGATTTGCATCAATGCATTGCCTCTTCTAATGATCATTCTAAAAGCATCTCTACTACCTGACTCATGGTTGGTCTTGCATCTCTGTCTTCCTCGACACATTGCAGAGCAACTCCAATAAGAATTTCCATCTTGCATGTGTCATAGTTACCATTCAATGTAGGCTCTACAATTTCTTCAATAAAGGATGTCATTGCAGTCCCTTGAGTCATCTTCTCCCTTACCCACTTAGCTAACCTCCTCTGTTCCATCTGCCCTTCATTGTTAATGGCGTCCACACCTGTCGTAGCACTCCTTCCGGTAACCATCTCCAACACAACGATCCCATAGCTGTAAACATCAACTTTCGAAGTGATAGAGCGATTTAATAGCCACTCGGGAGCCATGTAACCTCTGGTCCCTCTTATTCTCGAGAAGATTGAATTGTTCTCACCACTTCTACTCAGTAGTTTAGACAGTCCAAAATCCGACACCTTTGGCTCGAAATCAGAGTCCAAGAGGATGTTCTGGGGCTTCACATCACAGTGCAAAACCCATTCCAAGCACTCTTCATGTAAATAAGCAAGACCTTTAGCTGTACCCACTGCAACATTGAACCTCTTTTCCCAATCAAGTGTGTTTGATTGCAAATTCTCTGCCAATGATCCATGTTCCATGTATTCATACACCAAAACCCTGTGCTTTCCTTCTGCACAATATCCCCACATATCTATCAAATTCATATGATTTAGCCCTCCAATGGTGCTCACCTCTGCCAAGAACTCTGCTTCTCCTTGGTTAGCTTCTATGAGAACTTTGATTGCCGCGACACGTTGATCAGACAATACGCCTTTATAAACAATGCCACCACCTCCTCTTCCTATCTCTTGAGTAAAATTACTTGTCGCCTTCTTTATCTCGTCATAGCTGAATCTTTTGAATCCAGAATCAACATAAAGGTAACCTTGAATAGTTGCATCTGACCTTTTTTGGGTCCTGTACAGGAAGCACCACACGAGCAAGATACAGATCAGTTCAACTCCTCCAATTGCAGTGGCAAACCAAAGCATAAACTTCACTGTCTTATTTTCATGGAATTTCCTATAAGGCCTATCAAGCTGTGTACTTAGTTGGCTTGAGCACTCTAATCTGAATGGTTGAAACGGCTCGTCATATGAGGAGAGTTCATTTTTTGGCAATTTTATATACATGGAACCTTCAAAAGTTGGAGTCAGAAGCCCGTTACGCAACTGTGTCTTAAGGTTACAAACATAATAACCGTTAATCCGGTCAATTTTGTGTTGGAACCCTTTGCAACTACACAACTGCAAGCATTCCTTTGCACACCTCTCTAAGGTGTAATTTGAGTAGACCCCAATATCATAACCATAGAAATCACCACGAAGAAATTCCAGAAAACCAGCCTCACTTTCGTCACAAGGCAGATTAGATATTGGTTCACATCCAAAAGTCCAATCTGTCTGATTAACCATCTTGTATCCGGCTAAGCAGGTGCACCTCCTGCCCGGATTTTCATGTGGAATATAAGTGCACAGGCTGTTAGGTCCACAAACACCAGGCATTCTGCATTGTTCCTTAAAGGCTTGCCACGAAGAAACCCAAAGTCGTCTCCTCTCATCTAGGCTGTATACTCGAAGGTTACCATCCGTGTCCATGGTCAATCTCCTCCTTGGCCCAATGCCCAAATCAGAGGCCATGAACCAGAAACTATCAGATGAATTGAAAAAACCTGTGTCACTAAGTACTGCCCTTCTACTAGTGTTGTACGAGGTTCTTCCAACTGCCCAGATAGTTTTCCACGGGGTAGGCCAGTAAACGCTGGATGTGTCAAGACCATCAAACAAAAGACGAAGCACGTTGTCATCGTCGAAGTAGAGCTGGTAAAAGCCAGAAGAAGGATCGCTTTTGCTGCGCCACGAGACTAGTTGTGTGTCTCGAGTGAGTAGTTGATTAGGAAGAAGGGTATTTGTTGGCGAGTCAAAACTTTGCCAAAGAGTCACACCCTCCAATGTAAGAAGAACAAGATTACCAGTGTCAAGAAGATGTAATTCCACCATGGAAATTGACTGAGTGTTCGTAGCCCAAACGGTGAGTTGCCCGGCATCTTTTAGCACAAGATTACCATTTCTTTGTAGGGAGAGGATTGAGAGCTTTTCATTAACTGGTTGGTCTCGATTGGCCATCCAAACCACCGTGTGATTTCCGTCATTTAATGGTTCAGTGAACCATATTGCAAAGAAACAGGCATTGTCATGGCCATAGTGAAAGCCGGCAGAGAAAAGGGAATTTGGTGAAATTAAGACCTCGTTCAGTTTCTCTACTGAGAGAGACGAGTCTGCGCTTAAACTACTAGGTAATGTTGAAAATGAAAATAGTGGTGATGATAGGAGCAAAGAAAGGACAAGGATAAAAGATGGAGAACCCATGAAATGTATAATTTGAAAGTATGAACTCCTGATTCTTAAATAACTTTGCACATGAAGGGGCTACTGGGTCCAACAAAAGTCAGTTCTAACATTGAAGGGGCTACTGGGTCCAACAAAAGTCATTGACCGATTGTTGTATAAATTTTATGGAAAATAAATGTTTACAACAAAAGTCATTGGCCATTGTACTTCAAAAGTATTGACATTCCACTGTTTGGAAGTCAACTCCTGTTACCGTCACCCAGGGGCGGCGCAGCCCCCACCCCCAGTTTTTTTAATTTTTAATTTTTATTTTTATTCGTGTTAAATAATTTGGAAATCTAGTCACATACGTGAAAGTGAGAAATTAAATTAACTTTTTTTTTTTTTTTTTAATGTTTTTTCTTATTTGTTTTAATTTATAGAAGAATCCAGTCATATGGTTATCACTCGGTATTTTTTTTTGGTTAAACAGTTGGGAGGTCTCCCTCACATATACGAAAGTCAGAAATTAAATTTGTTTTTATATTTTTTTCTTATTTGGAAGAGTTCAAGTCAAATGGATTGAGTTATCACTTATGCCAATTAATAACTGAAAAAAACAATATTAAAATTAAGGACATACTTGAATGTTGAATGGATCTTCATCCCTTTCCTCTTCGCACGCAGTAATGATGATATCAGGTTCACATACTCATGGGTGTTTACTATGTGTGCTTAATCCTATACAAAGCTAAGTACACATACATAGTCCATGTACACTTCAACTTTCATAAAATACAACTCATGGGTGCACCATTTTGTATCCTTGTTCTCTTTCTGCTACCATCATCACCATTTTCATCTTCAGAAGTACCTCATAGTTTAACTCAAGGCTCTTCTCTCTCGGTCGAGAGACAAAACCACGACGTTCTACTTTCACCAAATGGCCTATTCTCTGCCGGCTTTCACAGTGTTGGTGACAATTCGTATTGCTTTGCAATATGGTTCACCGAACCATTATACAATGGAAATCACACAGTAGTTTGGATGGCCAACCGAGATGAGCCAGTTAACGGGAAGCTCTCAACCCTCTCTCTGCTGAGAAACGCCAATCTTGTTAATCTTGTACTAACGGACGCTGGGCAACTCACCATTTGGTCCGCCAACACTGGTTCGATTGGCTCGGCTTCTGTAGTGCAATTGCAACTTCAAAACAATGGTAATCTTGTCCTCATCACCTCTGGGGGTGTGACGCTTTGGCAAAGTTTTCATTCACCAACAGATACACTTCTTCCAAATCAACCTCTCACCAGAGACACAGTTTTGATCTCGTCACGTAGCCAAACCAATCATTCTTCTGGTTTTTACAACTTACATTTCGACAATGATAATATCCTTCGTCTTGTATTTCATGGCCCTGATATTTCTAGCGTTTACTGGCCCTCCCCCGGGGTACCTAGCTTGCAAACCGGAAGATACATGTACAATACTAGCAGAAGTGCAATACTCGATGAATCAGGCCGTTTCATGTCATCTGATGACTTCAATTTCACTGCCACAGATTTTGGTGTCGGGCCACAAAGGAGAATGGCCATTGATGAGGATGGTAATCTTCGATTGTACAGTCTAGATGAGAAGAGACGACGTTGGGTGGTTTCCTGGCAAGCCATGGCTCAACCGTGCCTGATTCATGGCGTGTGTGGACTTAACGGTCTGTGCACTTACGTTCCACAAGAAAATTCAGGGAGGAGGTGCTCTTGCATACCTGGATATAAGGTGAAAAATGACACTGATTGGTCCTACGGATGTGAACAAGAATTCGATTTGTCTGGCAACATGGATGAATATGGTTTCGTCGAGCTTCCTAACGTCGAATTCTATGGCTACGATAATGTCTTCCTCACGAATTACACCTTAAAGAGCTGTGAGGAGTTATGCTTGAAGGATCCCGGTTGCAGAGGGTTCCAATACAAAGATCAAAATCTCTGTTACGTCAAGTCACAGTTGCGCAACGGACGTCGTATTTCTTCGAATTTATTGTTCTCAATGTACATAAAATTGCCCAAACGTGAACTCTCAACGTATGACAAGCCGGCTCAACAATTCACATTCAATTGCTCCGGCCAACTCGGTGTGCAGCTCTATAGACCTTATGAGAAATCCCACGAAAATGGGATACTGAAGTTTATGCTTTGGTTTGCAACTGCAACCGGAGGAGTTGAAATCATGTTGATCTTGCTCGTGTGGTGTTTCTTGTCTAGAACCCAAAAAAAGTCGCACGAAACTGTGCAAGGTTACAATTACGTTGATTGTGGATTCAAAAGATTCACCTACGCGGAACTAAAGAAGGCGTCTAGGAATTTCGGAGAAGAGATTGGAAGAGGAGGTGGTGGCGTTGTGTATAAAGGCACGTTGTCTGATAATCGTGTCGTGGCAATAAAACGTCTGGACGAAGCTAACCAAGGAGAAGCAGAGTTCTTGGCAGAGGTGAGCACGATCGGGAGGCTTAACCACATGAATTTGATAGAGATGTGGGGATATTGCGCGGAGGGAAAGCACCGGCTTTTGGTGTACGAGTACATGGAGCATGGATCCTTGGCAGAAAATTTAAATGCTGACACACTTGATTGGGAGAAGAGGTTCGATATTGCTTTAGGTACAGCTAAAGGGCTTGCTTATCTGCATGAAGAGTGCTTGGAATGGGTTTTACATTGTGATGTAAAGCCTCACAACATACTCTTGGACTCGAATTACCAGCCAAAGGTGTCAGATTTCGGGCTGTCTAAACTATTGAACAGAAGTGGTGAGAACAATCCGAGCTTTTCCAGGATAAGAGGAACACGAGGTTATATGGCTCCGGAGTGGGTGTCCAATCTCCCAATCACCTCCAAAGTCGATGTTTATAGCTATGGAGTGGTCGTGTTGGAGATTGTGGCCGGAAAGTGGGCAACAACAGGCGTCGACACCATTGGTGGCGACGAAGGGGAGGTGGAACAGACAAGGTTGATTAAGTGGGTAAGAGAGAGAATGAATAATGGAGTTGCAGTGACATCGTCAATTGGAGAAATTATTGCGCCTACGATAAACGGTAACTATGACACTCGCAAGATGGAAATTATGGTTGGGGTTGCTTTGCAATGCGTAGAGGAAGACAAAAATGGCAGACCAACCATGAGCCAGGTAGTAGAGATGCTTCTACACCATCAAAATGATAATTAGCATAGGCAATTCATTGTTGCAATGATAGACTATGTATAGCATTGATCCAATCCTTAATTGTACTCCATTGTAGCTCAAATCCATAATTGTGAAGTCGTTTTTCAATGTTTAATGTCCATCTTTCTCGGCAAATCGAAGGGCTAGGAATAAGTTTTCATTATCCTATTATATTTATCAGTTGTACTCAATTGTAGCTCTAGTCCATTATTTATAAAATTTTGTTTTTGAAAGGTAGCTCTAGTCCATAATTGTGGACCTACTTTTTAATGTCTAACGTATGTCTTTATAGTAAAACCGAAAGACTAGGAATGAGTTTTCATCAAATTCTTGTCTACGTCCGTTGTAGTCATATTGTAGCTCAAATCCATAATTGTGAACCTACTTTTTAATATCTAATGTGAGTCTTTCTAAGGAAACCAAAAGACTAAGAATGAGCTTTCATTATATTGTTATCTTTGTCCGACTTACTCAATTGTAGTTCAAAAGTCCATAATTGTGAACTTATTTTTTAATGTCTAATGTCTGTCTTTCTAGGAAACCCAAAAACTAAGAATGAGTTTTCATTATTTTGTTGTCTTTGTCCGTTGTAGTTAATTCTAACTTCTGTCCATGATTTTGAACTTATTTTTTAATGTCTAATGTCCGTCTTTATAAGAAAACCAAAAGACTAGGAATGAATTTTCATTATCTTGTTTTTCTGTCCGTTGAAGTCAATTTTAGCTCAGGTCCATAATTGTAAACCTACATTTTAATATTTAATGTCCTTCGTTTTAGACAAACCGAAAGACTAGAAATGAATTTTTTTTGTCCGTTGTACAATTATAACTCAAGTCTATAATTGTGAACCTACCTTTTAATATCTAATGTCAATCTTTCTACACAAATTGAAAAACTAGGTTGTTGTTTGACGAGCTTAGATGTGTGTGTATTACATTCAATGGTCCACATCACACATGTATGATTGCTTACATCCGCAAGTAATGAAAATTGTCCGATGCAATATAAAACTTGTCTTGTATTGCAAATGATTCTTACTCCTTGTTGGACATAAGAATTTTAAAACTTAACAATTGTTGTTCTAACCAACAGGCCTTAAGCCTGAGCAACAGGCCCAAGGGAAAGCAGGCCGCCAACTCTTAGGAGAATCCACATTACTGTAACTTATCTGCCTAAATATATATGGTAGAGAATATAGTAGAGTTGTACATGGAAACAAACTCGTATGGAAAGAATTTGGAGGACAAGCTATGCAAGTCTAACCCTAATCCCGACATATTCGTATAAATAGAGGCAAGGATCTCCCATAAGGATATACGTAACTTTTGCACCATTCTTATTCTTGTTGAGTTTTACTTTTTTTTTAGTGTGTTGATTTTATTCTTTGACTTTTCTAAGTTAACGAATTTTTGCACTTTCACATGCATAGTTAAAAATTCTTAATAATAGTGGATAACTAATATATAATAGGGGAGTGTGTGTGTGTATATATATATATATATATATATAAGATTCAAAATAAATGAATTGTTAAATACAACAATTTTAAAGTTGCTCCCTAAATAGTCTTCCCGTGCTTCGAGACAGTGACGTAGCCAAGAATTTTCTTTTGTGGGGGCAATCTTTAATAGCAATAATATATATATATATATATATATATATATATATATATATATATATATATATATTATTTGAACCAAAACAATATATGTAGAAATTAAAACGTTGATTCATTATATTTCTATTAAGTACATTCATAACGATTTTTTCAGATTATTCATTGATGTTTCAAAATTGAGTTCATTTAATTAAATATACTAAAAAAAATCATATTAAATGAATCAAGAATAAAATATGAAAAAGAAAATAACATAGTTACCGGTTCTAATGTATCACATATGTAAAAAAAATAAAAATCCATGATAACATTTAATCTATGATTTCATTGATTTGGGTTGCAAATTAAAACAAATTCTAAGTGTTATTTAGAGAATAATAATTAGTAACACGATTACACAAACTAAATTTTGAAAGAACAAACAAGCCCTAAAATAATTTTGATAGTAATAACTAATAAAATTTCTAATTAAAATTATAATATGAAATAATAATCGTAAATTTATATGATAAAATAAATAAATAAAAAAATCAAATTACCAATCTGCCGCACTGCAATATGATTACACATGTTCTCACATATAGATTACAACTACTCACATAAACCTCTCTTTTGCAGGATTTTTCAAAACTATGTAGATTTCCACTATGTCGGAAGCGGAATGACAATGTTGGACAAAGTGCAAGCATTTTTTTTATTCAATGAGACATCATATAGGACAAGTAGGTTGAGTAAATACACATAAAATTTCAAGTTTAATGGGTTGGGACTTCAAAAAATGTGTTTTTTTTTCAGAAAGTGCAACAAGTCGCACTATTTCAAATCAGGCTAACTTTCTCAGCTAATACAAAGAATAAAAATTCATTAAAGTCGCACCATTTCGGACCAAATTTTGAAAGGAAATTTTAGTTTTTTATTTACCTTCATCAAATTCAAATTTGGAAAAAATGAAGAATCGATCAAGTTACAAAGGGGTCAGAGCATTCACGGAGTGTTCGTGATCTATTGACAACCTTCTATAAGAATTAAATGAGTAAGAATGATGTCTAGAGCGTTTGGATGGGTCGGGGAGTACTCATAAAGCTAGAGAGAGAGAGAGAGAGAGAAAGAGCAAAGTGGGTGTGAGCCCGAGTTAGAGTCCATTGTACTTTACTTCGAAAATAGTAGATCGTTTTGCTCAAGACTACGAAAGTATTGTCCGTGGTTTTTATCTCGGATTTTCAAATTTCTTCCAGCAATGGTTTTCACATTGAAAATCCTAGTGTTATCTCTCAAATTTTACTTTATTTACTTGCACTTTATTTTTGTTTTATGGGTGGAAGTTTTATTTCGGTAAAATATTTAAAAAAAAGCAAAAATCAGATAAAGGAGTAACCAAAACCTATTCTTATTCTTCCCCTTCTAGGTTATTTTTACATCAAACTTCTACATTCACTCCGCATAGCGCCACTCACACTACCTTACCAAACTTGAAATATAAAGTATTCTCACTCTCATACCTGTTCTAAGTGATGTTCGTTTGATAATTAAGACACAAGATAAATCGAAAAATTTCTACTCCATCGTCAAGTTTTAACACCAAAATTTGCCAATACAAAAACTTACATCTCACAATAAAGCAGCTGACTCCTTCATACATGCTCCAATTGGCTCGGGCTGTTTACACGAGGGCTAGGATATAATTATGATCAAATGGGTGCAAATTAGTTATCCAAAAGCCAAAGGTTATTACAGTATTGTCTACATAAATCTTGAGTGGACTAGGGTGATACTTGACAATTCAAGAATTTAGTGAATAAAGTGACTGTTCATATTCGAACTTATATTTTTATACTTGGCAGTTCAAGTATTTTTCACTGTGTTTGCTCCACTATTTTTCGCCCAATGGAAAGGCGACATGTGGCGAGTTCCAATGAGTTTGCCACACTGGATTGTTATTGGTAATTTCCAAAAAAGGAGGCATGATTTGGAGTTGTTGAAGGTAGATTTGATTCTACCCACCACCAATAAGGAGGAAATATGTGGCGAATTCCAATGGAACTTACCACACTGGATCGCAACTTTTATAAATCATTATTGGAATTTATTCAAAGTTACGTAGTAATTGGATGGGTGGGCCATTCTTGTTATATGAAGTTTTATATTTTGGCTAAAATAGAAAAAGGCGAGTCCAAATTAGGACTTGCCATCTTTTAAAGCAAGGGCCCGCATTTTTTCCCATTTTACCACACTTAGCAAGTTCCATTGAGTTTATCATAGTTTTGACCATAGTATATCAATCCTTTTAAAGAATGATTATTATGGTTTTAATAAATGGAAACTTACCAAGTTTGGTAAGATAAAGGTTGACTCAGCTAGATGAAGGAGAGCGTGGGGTTAATAGTCCCCTTATTTATAGGGGATTTCAATGATGGTGTAGTCAAGTCAGACAACATTGCTAAAAGGAAGGAGACGTGGGAGTTTGTTTAGTTTATATATATATATATATATATATATATATATATATATTAGACTTAACCCACGATGAAGTAATCATCGTAAAATGAGTCCATGACACCTTGAGTTCTAAATCCATAAGAGGTAAGGTTGAAGGGAAGTTGCTAAAATTAAGGAAGTATATTACAACTGCAACCCACGATGAAAACTCAGTGGAAGAATAAAAGTGACTATGACGCCATGAAGACAGTATGGAAGGTTTAGCCTAAAATTAAGGGAACATGGTGGGCAGAAAATATATATATATATATATATATATATATATATATATATTCTGGAAAACACTCACGATGGGGAAGTTGCTAAAATTCAGGAGTTCATGGCGCCATATATTTCCAAGCTCAGAAGGAAAATACCCACGATGGGAAGTTACCAAAGTTAAATGGACATGGGTAATAATATATCTCTGATATATATACATATATATTTGGAATGTTATTCAAGATAAGGAAGTTACGTCATGAAATGAGGGTTTTACAGAAGAGGAAGACTACTAGAGATCGTGGGACACTTAGCCAAACAAGAAAATGTTAGTTAAGAGTGGTGGAATTTCTTAAGGGAACTACCACTAACCGAAGCAGTTGTTGAAGAAAATGGTTTAAATCAGGTCTGAAGAAGGAAGAAGTCTGCGATAAAGGAAGAAGGAGATGGGAAGAGGAAGTTACAACTACCAAGAGAATGTAGGGCACTTGGCAGTCTAGAATTTGGCCAAGTGGAAGCTACCAAGGCTGCCACACATCAGTTTACATGCATGGAGGAGCTCTATAAATAGAACACTTAGAACTAGTTTGCAAACCCTGTTCAAATCACACAGCAAAACCAGCACTTCAATATCTTTACATTTATGTAATGCACCTTCAATATGTTTAATTCAAGTCCCGCACTTATC